GTGCTCTTCTCAGCAAGCTTCCAGGCTCTGGCTATTTATAATCTGTGGGAGCTCTTATTCCCACCTAGACTTGCAGTTCTTTCAAAGGTGAGGTCTAATGATAACTTGTGAGCAAACGAGAAAGGTCTTCCCACATTCCTTATGTTCACAGACGTGCCTTGTAGTCACAGACGTGCCTTGTAGTATGGGTTTTCTGGCGGAGTAGCTTTCAAAGGTTGAACCTTGGAATCACCTGGAGTACTTATTAAAATGCAGCTTCTGGGGCGCCTGGGTGGCTCAGTCAGTTAAGCGTCTGCCTTCGGCTCAGGGCATGATCCCAGGGTCCTGGGATGGAGCCCCACATCAAGTTCCCTGCTCAGTGGGGAGCCTGCTTTTCCCTCTGCCTGCCACTCCCTCTGCTTGTGCTCTCTCCCTCTCTCTCTGGCAAATAAATAAAATCTTTTAAATAAAAAAAAAATAATAAAATGCAGTTTCTTGGGTCTCAGTAGAGGGTCTCCGGAATCAGAAGGCCCAGGAAGGAGGTCCAGGAATCAGCCATTCAAACAACCCCCCGGGAGAGTCTTATTCTTGCTAAAATTTGAGGCTGCTGTCCTGGCGGTCTGTCTGAGGCAGAACCACCTCGCCATATGCACTATATACATATGATTTCTCTCCAAATTCAATTCTGTGATCATTTAAATCCCTGTGGTTTCAGTTCTCTGGCATTAAAGACGAAGCTGCCATGGAAGGCACTGCCACATTCATTGCCCCTGAAAGCCAGCCTTTGAGAGGAGAGCTCAAAGGTACTGCCTTTGAAGAGCCGAGCACTGGCTAAAAGCCCTATTGTACCCGTGAGGTATGAGGTATAAGGGACCCTCTGGGATGAGATCCTGCTGTTAAGTCAGGTAGATGCTTTGAGCAGCTTGTTTTTCTTCTCTGGATCTTTACAGTTAGGACTCTGAAGTTCACAAACAGTCCCAGTGCAGAGAGACCCACTGAGCCAGAATTTTAGCCCCCCAATAAGAGCCTTCCACCCATCCAGTGTGGGGACCCCAGGTCAGGAGCCCTGATGAAGTCATGGCCCAGAGCCCCCAGCAGGAGGGTTTTGAGGGGCTACTTGCCTCCTCCCTGCCCCAGCCTGGCCTCCACTGCTCTGAACCCATGTTTTCTGATGGAAGATTCTGGCACAGGGTGTACACTGTGAAGTCAGACAGACCTGGGCTCAAGGCCGGGCCTTACCATTTACCAGCTGGGTGGCGTCACTTCTCTGAGCCTCCGTTCCATCCCTCATGGGACACAGAGCACAACACTACATCCCTCCTCTGCAGTTTATGAGCCTGAAATGAGAGGGTACACCCTAACTGCCCAGCACACAGTCACTGCTCCGCCCTGGGGAAGGGTTCTCGCCCATTTGCTAAGAAGTCCCCTGTGGCTCACGCTCCCTCCGCTAACCAACTTTGGAAATGCTGTGGGACTCCCTCTTGGCCACCTGCTGACTGCCGGGTCCTTCCAGGCCACAGATGTTGCCACGGGCATCTGCTTCTCCCAGGTTCACTCGGTTCCCTCCTTCTCCTTTGCTCTGTTTGGACTTTTGTGATCACGTCTCCATTCAACAAGAACACTTAGAAGTCAGGGCCCCATGTTAGGGATCCCGTTAACAATCAGGGAAAAAATTTAAAGAGTTGTTAACAAAGCTTGGGTATTAAAACTCCCATCTGTCAATGCAGAAAACTCACTCAGAACCTAACTGTTCTTACTTTAGAAACAATTGCAACAAACCTCAAATTAGAAGCAGGAGAGCTTTTAGAAGCAGGAATGCTGTCGACATAAGCACTATAATAGCACCATAACGGTAACAGCAAGAAGAAATCTTTGGGACCTCAGAGCGAAATGAGAGACAGAGAGGGCGGGAGGGAAGTGGGGAGAGAGGGAAGGAAGAATGGACACAGGGACAAGACTTAGCAATCCCAGGTCATTCACTGAAGGACGGCGATTCTCTGCAAGGTGTGGTTGGGGATGCTTCCTGGGAATCCACAAGATCAGACTACTTTTATGTAGTACTCGGACCCAATATGCCTTTTTTCACTCCCATTCTTTCTATGTTTACAGTGGAGTTTTCCAGAGGTTGTGTCGCATGATGACACAGTAGCTCTGAAGGCCAATGGGATATGTGCCTGTGTGTTCTTGTGGTTTAAAATTTTCTCAGCTTTAATTGTTAATACAGTCAATATTGATAACGATGATCCCCATAAAACAAAAGTTCTGTGGAGTCCTTGATAATTTTCTAATGTGCAAAGGAATCCCAAATCCAAAAAGTTTCAGAGGGATAAAACAGTCACTGTACCCCATAGCCTTGACATTCCCACATGATGTCAGAGCAATGTCATGAATTTTCAAATAGGAACCATGGCTGCAGGCCACAAGAGAGCTCCCATCGTCCCCTGCGGTGCCTTCCCAGTAGCATTTACCATGGCCTCCCTCATGAGTTATTACACGTGTGTCTGTGTGTGTCTGTGTGTGTGTGTGTGTGGTATGTGTGAGAGAGAGATAGAGACAGAGAGACAGAGACAGAGCATACCCACCGAAACAATATCTTATTCATTTTCTAATCCCCTGAGTGGCACATAATTAGGGCTCAGTCAATATCTTAGAACTGAGTTACTGACTTTCAGTGTATCTGGTGAGGGTGCCGGAGAGGTTTGTGATTCCATTTGTAAAGATTTCCTTTGCAACAGCTAAAATTTACCTAAGATGTTTTTATGATTTTAAGTGGTTTCCTACTTCAAGGAGGGAAATCTACCCACCCAGAAGCCTTGCTCAGGTGGCATTGCCAGCACTGGGGCTGTGGAGGCAGCAGGGTCTCCAGGTCCCTTGCACTTGGGCTGTGAGGTGAGTCGCGCCCCCTGGCGTTGTGCAACTCAACAGCTCTAGAAATCACACAAACGTGGCATCAGCCTGGCTCCACCTCTTTCACGCTGTGCAACCATCCCACAGCCTCCCTCGGCCTCAGTCCTCTTCTGGAACACAGGTATCCCAGGAGTACCTGCTCACAGATGAGGCGGGGCATACACAGCCCCTATCTCAGTGCCCAGCAGCAGAGAGAGCTCATGAGGTGGTAGCTGACAGGATCAGCCTTTAGCTCATTTCCAACAAATTTAAGGTGATGATGGAATGCCACAGAGAGACAGCCACATCACATTTTTTCCAACAAGTGCCACTATCTGTAGATACAATTCTATTTTTTTAAAAGTCCTGGCGTGGTTATCTGCTCATGCCCTCTCTCATCAAATACATATGGAGCACCAGCACTGAGCAGGCCCCAGACTAGATGCGAAGGAAGTTGAGATTCCAAGGGCAGTCTGCCCTGTCTAGAGCCTCACAGCCTGCTGTGGGAGCAGACACTCCTAGAGACTCGCACAGCAGAGATCAGCATGGTAAATACAATGACAGCCCCAATAGCTGACTTGGGGTGAGCACTTCTCATGCATGACCTTGGGGAAAGGCACTTCTCATGCATGACCTAATTAATCTTCACAGCAACCTTCTAAGGCAGGTGTTATTATGACCCCCTGTATGGAGGAGGAAACTGAGTCATAGGCTAAGTAACTTTCGAAGGTCCCACAATTAATGAATGGAGCCTGAATGTGATCCTAGGCAGTCTGGCTCCAGGGCTGGTTCTCTTATGCACGATATTATAGCCCCTCTACCACACGCAGACCTTGTAACTGTAAGTCGGAGTCTGGTTGTTTCCTTAGGAGGGCCCAGGGTGGAGAGAAGCACATGGGGCTGGGAGTCTGGAGACTATCAGCCAAAGGCCTGGCTCTTCAGTGGCCTCTGTGTGATTGAAAGCAAGACACTTCTCTTCTCTGAGCCTTGGTTTCTTCCTCTAAAAAATAGGTATGAACATGGGGCCTATCTCAAAACTTGTTGGTGGGGTTGTATAAAATACTGCAAGGCAATCTAGTGAGTGAGGGAGTCAGGGCCAGTCGAGGCTTCACTGGCTATGTGACCCTGGAGGAGTTACTGAACCACCCTGAGCCATAAAATGCTTGGTAGTATATTTAAATGCGATTGTAAGTATGAAGGGCTTAGCAAAGCTCACAAGAATCATTCGACATGGTTAGGTTTTAGTATTCTGCACAAGTGACTAGCAAGTCACAAAGCAGGATAGTACTACTACTGTAACAAAGCTGGTCTAAGGCGAACCGAGTCCCAAGTTACTGTTTGGGACAGGGACACATCAATGACGTCATGGTTGTGGCATGCTCCAGTCTTTAAAAGACCATGTGCCATAGGGTTTTGCAACTCTGTGTGGTCTCAACCAGCGGGATCAGCATCAGCCGGAAATGCAGAATCTCAGGTCCTGCCCCAGAGCTGAGCCAACCTCTGCATTTCGATGAGATCCCCAGGTAATTCCTCTATACACTCAAGTGTGAAAAATGTTGGTAAAGCATGGAAAGACTGGTGATAACGGTTTGAGGCCTGGGGTGGGAAGGGTTAATGTTTAGTTTGGCTCCCACCAAGGCACCGGAAACAGAAGGTTCCAGAGATTGAAGTGTATGAACTGATGGGACAGGAAGGCTCCCTTCCTGCCTGTGTCCTGGATGGCCAGGGGCTCCAGCCTGGGACCTGCACCAAGCCTCGAGCCACAGTGGGAAAGGACCCCTGGACCTGGACAGCCGAGGGCATGCTGGGACAAAGGCAGGCCTAAGAGCCTCTGCTCAGGCTGCCTGGGCTCCGAGTTGCCAGGCTGAAGCCTGGGGCGTCCGTCCTCAGGCCAAGGCCGTCTGAGGTCTGAGGCAGCGTGGGGAGGCCCAGAGGAACGTCATGGCTAACTGAGCAGGGCTCTCCCTCGGAGGGTGGGTGGCCAGCCCTGGGACAGCTGTGGGAGGGCTGCTGAGGTCTCCGTGTTGCACCCGCCTGCCCTCTGCCCCCCGCCCCCCGCCCCCACTGCCCTGGCCTCTGGTGGGTGGGGGCGGGGCCGGATCCTGACCCCGAGCCCCGCTGTGCTTCCTCCTCAGTGCTGGAGCAGCTGCTCCCTGAGCTCACGGGGCTGCTCAGCCTCCTGGACCATGAGTACCTCAGTGACACTGCCCTGGAGAAGAAGATGGCTGTGGCCTCCATCCTGCAGAGCCTGCAGCCCCTCCCAGGTCAGCCATCGGCACTCCGCCCCCACCTCCTCAAGAACCTTCAGGAACTCCCCAGGGCGTGCGGCTCGCGGAAACCGAAGCCTCACAGCGTGGGCACCAAACACGTCCATGGCCTGGCCGGTGTCCTCGACCCCTTTGTCGTTCTCCACCCTGGCCGGGCCCTTCGTGCCCCTCCATCCTCACCCCACTAAAGCTCATGTCCACAGCTGCCACACCTCCTCACACACACACACCACACTCGTGCGCACAACGCCTTCTCACCGGCGTGGTACTCCCGTAACAAAGACCCACTCGCGTGACACACGCGGCACACTCGCCAGCAGCACGCTCGCACATGCGCAGCTCACGTGACCAGGACGCACAGCACGCCGCTCCCAGCCCACACACTCTCACACACGACACTCACATGCGCACACACGCCACACACGCCCCCTGCGGGGGCTGCCCTCACGCGCCCCCCACTAGCCCCACAGCCCCTCTCCCCCCACCCCGCCCCCGTCTATCCGGCAGCAAGACCTCCCCGTCTGCTCCCGCCTTTTCTCGACACCCCAGGTCAGCCCAGCACTCAGTAAACCCTGTGTCCCGCAGTGTTGTGGCGTCTGAGTGATGGGGGGCGGGGGCGTCCCCACTGAGTGGCTCTCGGAGCCTCACTTCTAGTGACAAAACAGGCTGATGTCATCAGCAGCCCTCACAGGACGGTGGGAGGGTAGTAGGGGCGGCAGTTTGCCAACCGTGCTTGGCCCTGTCCCCTGGCCGTCCCCGGAGCGCCTTACCTGTTCTGTTTTCTATGCTGGGCTCTGAGCATCCTTCCACTTGGAGAAGGAGATGCTCAGGAACGATGTAAAAATCAGAACAAAGCTTGAAAACCAGGGAACTCATTTAGGATGGGCAGGTGCTTTGTCAACGGTGCCGTGTCCTGAGTGGGCTTGAGTCCGACGTGGAGACCCGGCCGTCGTCAGAATGGGCAGCAGCAGACCCCCCCTTCCTCCTCACTGCTGACACGCTCCCCCTCTCCTCACAGCCAAAGAAGTCTCCTACCTGTACGTGAACACAGCAGACCTCCACTCCGGGCCCAGCTTCGTGGAGTCCCTCTTTGAAGAGTTCGGTAAGCCATCCTCTCCCAACCCCAGCTGGGAGCTGTCCCCTCCCTGAGTGTACAGGCCCACTGCCCCAGTCTCCGGAAGGGTCCTCGGATTGGGTGGGGGCCTGGCTCTAACGTTGCAACACTGAGTCACGTTGGGCAGGTCCCTTGACCTCTCTGGGCCCTGCCAGGTCTGAAAGTCTAGTCAAAATCTGTATGGTCACAGGAAGTCATCCCCAGGATTTGAGGAAAGGTAGGGAGGAACGTGCAGGCCAAAGAAGGTGCTGTCTCTCCTGCTGCTCACATCCACTGGTGGTGGCTGCCTGACCGCGGGGTTGAGCCGTCCTGTGCCCCAGCAGAGAGGGGAGCTGCTGGGGGCATCACGGGCGTGGAGCAGGCGCACCGGGCAGTGGGCAGGGTGTGTGCGCCCCCTGCTCCATCCCGAGGGAAGACAGCACTATTCCTCTTAAAGAAAGCTGCAGGTCAGGTGAAAGTTTCAGGGATGGAGAGACTGACGGAAGACCGGGCGCCTTCATAACCCACTTCTTGAAAATCTCCAAAGCACCACACGAGATATCATCTCATTTGGCCCTCTTGATAACCCTGGCAGACAGACAAGGCGAGGGATTATTGGGACTGGTTTACAAAGGAAAAGACCAAGTCTCAGAGTGATTAAGTCGCTTGCCCAGGGTTTCTAACAAAGGAGGTGCTAGAGGCCTCCTGACCCCAGATCCAGGCTTTTTCCCATTCTACTGTGCTCATCCCTGGCTTGCTCTGCCCCAATGGCCTGCCCCTCGGTAGACTGTGACCTGAGTGACCTCCGGGACATGCCAGAAGATGACGGGGAGCCCTGCAAAGGAGCCAGCCCTGAGCCAGCCAAGAGCCCGTCTCTGAGACACGTGAGTCATGGCCTGGGTTCCCACACTGTCCGGCCCTCTGTCACTCTGAAGTGGCCAATGAAGTTTTCCCCCCAATGCTTGGGTCCCTCCTGCCTGTGTTCTAAGGGGAGAAACAGGTTGTGAGAACATTTCAGTGACTCATGATGTGCTCACTGCGCCCGTGCTGAGCAGGGATAATGTGGTGAACTGATCTGTCCATTCAGGCACAAAGGACGTTCCCCACCCCAACTTCTGATTGCCATAATAAACGTGGAGTGTGGGGAAAGCTCTGGACCAGGGCTTGGTGGCCTCTGCCCTCCTCCTGCTGCCATGTGGTCTTAAACAAATCACCTCCCCTTTCTGAGCCTGTTTTTCACTTACAAAATAAAGGTTTGGATCGTATCTAGGGTTCCCAAGCTTCATCCACGGAATTAAGGCAGGGGGCCCATAATCACATCAAACACTCTCTGTCAACTGCATAATTCACTATCATCATCACCATCCAATGGTACACCTGTTGACCCCTTACTACGTCCTTTACAGGCTCACAATAACTGAATGAGGTTAGCACCACTGTTATCCCCATTTTACAGGTGAGGAAACTGAGGCTTAGCGTAAGTGACATGTCAGTGCCCACAACTCATAAGTGACAGAGCTTAATCCCGGTGAAGCAGGGGTGCCCTGGCCCCAGAGCCTAAGCTCTTAGCCACGAGGCCGTGCTGCCTCACTAAGTAACGTGTCTTCCATGTACTTGTCTTGCTGTTCCTCACAGGTATGTAGATGTGGTTGCAGAGCACTGCAGAAGTCACAACAGTTTTGGATCACTCTGCATGCGCTTACTTAATCAAAAGCCTGACTACATCTATGTGGCACTCCACAAAACTTTTAGATCTTACGGAGAAGCCCTGATGCTGAAATAAGTCGGGCAAGAAGTGGAGGACCAAGCAAACTCTCAGGGTCCCCACCTCTGCCTTCTGCCGCCCTGTCAGAAGTTCCGGCTTCACCTTCACAGCAGGCATCCCGCCTCCTCGGGGCTCCTGCCTCTCTCTGCCCCAGCCTCCTTGCCGTCATCCCACCCGCTCCCTCTGCTCTCCTGGCCTTCTTGGTCTTATCTGCCTCCTTTGTCCCACTTCAGGCAGCCGACCTGCCTCCACCGCTTCCCCAAAGGCCCCCGCCCGAGGACTACTATGAAGAGGCCCTTCCCCTGGGCCCGGGCAAGTCCCCTGAGTACATCAGCTCCCACAGTAAGTTCTGGTCCCCCGGGGGGACTCCTCTCCTCAAGCTCCCGTGTGTCCCGCTAGGGCTGGAGCCCCAAGCCCGGCGCTGGCCCAGCCCTGCCCACATCCTGGGGAGGAGCTGCCTGAGCCCCCAGCCTCTCTAAGCAAGGCCTGGGGAGGCCAGTGGGCCTAGCCCCAGGGATCAGGGGCTTGGTTCCAGCCCCAGTTCTGTGCGGCCTTGGAAAATCCCCTTCCCTACTCTGAAAATAAGAAGGGGCTGGATACATGCCTATAAATGTGTGGGGACGGAGGTACACAGACGGCCACCGAAGCTGGTGATCTCCCTCGTGCTCCTCCTCGGTGGACCCGGTGAACTGGTTTGTACTTCAGCCTGGCCACACCTGAGAGGAGAAGTAAGTTATAAAGTGAACGTGTGGGGTAAAAAAAAAAGCACGTGGCCAAAATCAAAAGGTCTTCCGATTGTGGGCACCCCAGGGAATTCAAACCTCTTAAATTGGCCACAAAGGAGGGTCTCTGGATTTGGACTCCTCTTTCCATGGGTTCCCTCCAGCACTGAAATAACCAGCTGTTGTTTTGAGGATCAGATAAGTCACTGGCTTGGTTATAGGAACTTAACATCACACACAAGAAACTATATTATGGTTTTTGGGTGACCCAGCATTTGTAGTTGAACTTTTATAAGATAATGTTTATGTGGGGCTCTACTCTCATTCAGTAGCACAGTGGAGTATTTTCCAAAAAATAAATAAAGTAGGTCTGTCTGTGCTGATCAGAAATGAATTCCAAGATACCGTCATTGATATAAACCTAGAACACAGAATACTGCCTATTATATGATTCCATTTGTTCCTTAATGGGGTACACACACACTCATGCATTCATTTTAGCAATTTTTCTAGGATATGCAAGAAACCGTGAACAGTATTTCCCTGTAGAAATCTGGGTGAAGGGAACATAATATTTTCCCATTCATACTCTTCTGTACTGATTGTGCTTATCACCATGGGCATATTTTTTTTATTGTAACAAAATATACATAACATAAAATGGACCATTTCAACCACTTTAAACTGCCCAATCAGGGACATTTAGTACACTCACCGTGTTGGGCAGCCATCGGCTCTACCCAGTTCCCAGACATTTTCATCACTCAAGGGGGAAAGCGCATACCCATTAAGCAGTCACTCTCATTCCCCTTTTCCCTTGAGCTTCCGGCAACCACCAATCTCCTTTCTGTCTCTATGGATTGGCCGATTCTGAATATTTCACAAAAATAGAACCATACAATGCGTGGCCTCTGGTGTCTGGCTTATTTCCCTTAGTATAATGTTTTCAAGGTTAACCCGTGTCACTGCGTGAATCAGTACTCCTCTCCTTTTTACGGCCACGTCATTGTCCATTGTATGGATAGACCACATTTTGTTCAGTCAGTTGATGGACATTTGGGTTTTTTTCCTCCTTGGGCTACTGTGGTATATTATTTTTAGGATTAATCAACTAGTTAAAACAAAGTGAAATGGTGGGGTTGAACCAGGTGATCAGTGGCTCTCTTCAGCCTTGAAAGTCTTGCAGTCTGTGTTGCTGTAAGCAGCTGTTTGGATGTGAAGCAGTTGACTTTATTCTATTTTATCCACTTGAGGACAGGAGAGGAAGGTGAGGACAAAGTGCTGCTGGGCCCTGAATCCCAGGTCAAGCCCCTCGGCTGGGTGAGACTGCTCTACCTCCCCAGGGAGCTCACACTCCTCTCTGATGGGGCCTCGGGGATCCTGGGCCAGGAGGGAAGGGCGGGCCTCAGGAAGGGCCAGGGGGCTGGACCAGGGAGAGGGTGCCAAGCCCGTTAGGGAACATCCTTCCTCTGACACAGTGACCAGCCCGGCCAGGTATTGAAGAGCGCTGCCCCGGGTGTCCCCTCCCTCTTCCCCATCGCACCCCTGCCCCCCCCGCCCCGCCCATCCATCTCATGGGATGTTGCCAGCATCTGAGGCCTCAGAGGACCTGCTGGGAAGGGCAGGCTCTGCTCATCACTTGGGAGACAGCACTTGGTATATCCCAGTCGCTGGGAATTTCAGTGCTGCTGTCCTCAGGAAACAGATGGATGGCAGGGGCTGGGAGCCCAGAGCAGCACTTTGAAGAACAGTGTGGTACGAGAGCCAGTTGGCCTGCATGAAGGAAGTCTTCTTGGAAGAGGGGATGTGCATCTATTCCCTGAGCTGACGACCTCAGTTCTCATGCAGGTTCTGACCCTAGCAAATGGTGTGGGGCCGCAGGGCTCCCATCTGTAAAATGGGGCTCATACCTACCTCCCTGCTTTGTAGGAATCAAAGGAGATAATAATAATATAGGGTAATGATAGGTAATAATAATGACATCCGGCATCTGCCCAGCACATTCTATGTGCCAGGCACTGTGCCAAGAGCTTATATGCATTGTATCATTAGTCCAAGGTGGGAACTGCTCCCGTCACAGTAGGTGAAGACCCTGAAATACAGAGAACCTAGGGGCTTTTATGGCCAATAAATGGTAGTGACAGATTTCACCTCAAATCTGATCAAACCCAAAGCACATGCCCTTAACCCACTGACCTTCAGAGTGTGCCCCAGGAAGCATCTGCATCAAAATAACCTTAATTGTTTTTAAAAAAATCCGATTTCTTGAAGTTCCATATAGTTTCCATTTTTACATGTTTTTTATTGTCCTGTTAAATAGGTTTTTTTAAAATGCAGATTCCTCGGCTCAGCCCATACCCACACCGGTGAATCAGAATCTCTAGGGAGACAGTCCAGAGATCTGCATTTTAAAGAGACCCCCCCCCGTAATTCTGATGCAGAATACAGTTTCAGATAGCCCCCACACACACTCCTGCACTGTGCTGCCCCTGTGTGGGAGTGTGCTGGGAACACTCCATGGAGGGAGCTGTTGTGTTCACTATTGTATGTACCTTTAGCTCCTCTAGTCCAGGTCCTCCCCGTAGTCACAGAAATTTAGGAGAGTCTCCATCACAAGAGAGAGCATATGCATCAGGAAGGGAGCAGAAGGACTGAGGTGGCAGAAGATGAGGGGGGCTGAGCCCAGGCAGCTGGAGCACCACTCCTTGCAGTATAGGGACAAGCGCTGTGACCAAGACACACACACACACACACACACACCACCACCACCACCACCACCACCAATGCTGTGGGATCACTGAGGAGGGGCTGACTATTCTCTGTCAGAAGAAAGATCTTTGAGCTGGGTATTGAAGGATGAGTAGGAGTTCTCTAGCAGAAGCTAAGAGAGCACACAGAATAGCATGAACACAGCCCTGGAGGTGTGACAGGGCCCAGCAGGGCAGCTTCTGGTGACAGAAACACAGAGAGCTTGTGGGAAGCTAGAGCAGATGACATGCAGAGAGGAGGCCCCTCACCCTGGCCAAGGAGCTGCACTCTCTCTTCCCCAAGGAGGGGCATGTTGTCTGGGGTCTTCCCCAGCCATGGTCCCTGCAGTCTGCCTGTCTTTCTCCAAGGTGCCGCTCCTTCTGCCAACCCCACAGATGGCTGCAGCCCAGCCCACTCCATCATGGATGGCTACTACGAGGATGCAGACAGCAGCTACCCCACGACCAGGATGAATGGGGACCTAAAGAACTCCTGTAAGTACCAAGAAGATGTTCAGAATGGTCCTGTCCTCAGAGAGAAGGCTTTGACCTGACCGTTGGCATGCACATGCATACCAGCCCCTCTGGGTCACCACAGAGGCCCCAAGCCCTTGTACTCATGACCCTGGGGTTCAGTGAAAAGGCATGGGAGTTAGGAGCCCTGGATCTAGCCATTGCCCCTGACCCTTGGTGACTGACCTTGAATGAGTCATTTGTTCTCTTTGAGCCTCCAGTTGCCTTCTGTATAAAATGGGGATTTGCTGGGTGCTGTGAGAGTCACCTGAAACTAAGGACACGGAGATGATGGGGTATGACAGTAGCTGATGTTAGTGGAGTACTCACCAAGTGCTAGACAGTGGGCTGAACGCTCTACAGTCACTGATCCTAATAACCTGATGAGGTAGATGCTGTCATTGATTGTGATCGTTTCACTGATAAGAAAACTGAAGCTCTGAGAAGTGAAGTCACTGAGGTCGCAAAGCCACCGGTAAATCTACACAACACAGTGCCCATGTGAGGGTGTAGAGATCACCATGATCACACCTCATGCCCCCCCCCCCGCCCGGTCCTCAAATCCCAGGGTAAGGACGCCAGCAGAGGGTAAGAAGGTGCCTCTCAGGCGAGGCCACAGTAACGGGCCCTTCCCCGTGGCTCCCGCAGACAATGACTCCGACCCGATGAGCAGCTCCTATGAGTCCTATGATGAGGAGGAGGAGGAAGGGAAAGGGCCACAGCCCACGCACCAGTGGCCCTCGGAGGAGGCCTCCATGCACCTGGTGAGGGACTGCAGGATATGTGCCTTCCTGCTACGGAAAAAGCGCTTCGGGCAGTGGGCCAAGCAGCTGACCGTCATCAAGGAGGACCAGCTCCTGGTGAGTGGCCGCGGAAGTGTGCCTCTAGGCCTCACATGGACTTACGTGTGTGTGTGTGTGTGTGTGTGTGTGCGCGCGCAGGCATGTCTGCCTCTGTTCCTCTGGGCTTGCTTTGTGCACAGAGGCTCAGTGCTTCTGAGATCAGGGCTCTCCCACTGGAACAGAATGAACACACACACACACACACTCAAAGACCTGATGTAGACTTTACCAAGTTTTTGTTTCTCCAGGAATGAATTTTTTATCAGTTTAAAACAATGTTTGTTGTTTTCATTATGCAACTAAATGTGTTTATGTATAAAACTAAAGAAAAACATAATGAAAATGATTTTTAAAGCCACCTAAAATCCCATTGACCAAGAGCTAACCACTGTTAAGTTTTTTTTTTTAAAGATTTTATTTATTTATTTGACAGAGAAAGAGACAGCGAGAGAGGGAACACAAGCAGGGGGAGTGGGGGAGGGAGAAGCAGGCTTCCCACTGAGCAGGGAGCCTGATGTGGGGCTCGATCCCAGGACCCTGGGATCATGACCTGAGCCGAAGGCAGACGCTTAACAACTGAGCCACCCAGGCACCCCTACTGTAAGTTTTAACATCCATGTGTCCACTCTCATTTGCATTCATTTGCCTTTTCTAAAACTGAGCCCATGCAGCCCTTACTATGGAACTTGCTTTCTTAGTTTTTTTTTTAATTTGCCATCTCTCATCGCCATCATTTCATAAAAGAAAATGTACCTTTAATTCCAGGGTAGGAATACAGATGTAATTTCAGAAAAAAATTATTAGTTGTTTATCCCAAAATCCATTGAGAAGCCTTGTCCAACATATATCCACTTGAAACATGATTTTTTCTCATCCTGGAGCAGTGAAAAGCTCACCCCAGGCCAGAACCAGTCCAAAGGTCATGATTTATTTCTTCCCACTCCTTATGCCATTTTTTTCTTGAAATACTGCATTGGTTAGGATCTCCAACACAATGTAAATAGAAGTGGTGAGAGCAGGCATCCTTGTCTCAGTCCAAAGCTCAAAGGGAAAGTTGCAATAATTCACTATTAAGGCTGATGTTTGCTGTGGGTGGTTTGTAGAAGCACCTTATTATCACATTAAGGAAGTTCCCCTCTATAACTCTAGTTTGCTAAGAGTTTATATTACAAACTGGTGGAGAATTTTACCAAATGTCTTTTCTGTTTCTATTGAGATGTGGCTTTTCTCCTTATTTTCCATTAATATGATGAATTATAGGGTTGGGTTTTGAAGGCTAATGCATTCTTGAAATCCTAGAATAAACCCGATTTCGTCTTGATACAGTATGCTTTTATATGTGTCTAGATTCTATCTGCTAGTGGTTTTTTGAGAGCTTTTGCAACCATGTTGAGATTCACCTTTCATTTTCCTTTTTTGTAATGTCATTGTCAGGTTCTGGTATCAAGGTAATGCTGGCTTCGTAATAAGAACTGGGAAGTGAGGGGGTCATTATTGATAAACTATTGACTTCCCAAGCCCAACCCTCCATCTCTGCTAGAATTCTCTCTCCCACATTCCTGCTAGGTAGCACATTAGTAGCAGGGAGCTGGCTTCCTTCCAAGCCAGCCTATTTCTTCTCTGGTTCTTTAGACTAGAGTGGTCTTCCTAGTATTGTGCTAAAATCTGCCTCTTCCTAATAGGTGGCTGTGCCCCTGGGGCCCCTCGGTAGCCCTTGAGATCTGAAGGTTCTCCAAAGATGCCCCCCTTCCAGGCTTCTTTTCTCTGGGGTGAATAGCCACAGCCCCTATCTTCATGCAGTGCCCACAGCTGGGCTGGGGGTGGGGAGGGTGTAGGTCGAGCTCCCCCAAGTCTTTGTGTGAGGGCATCTCCCTCCTCTGCCCTCCAGTCCAGAAGGGTGAGTCCTTCTCTTCCTGTCCAGTGTTACAAAAGCTCCAAGGACCGGCAGCCGCATCTGAGGCTGGCGCTGGATGTCTGCAGCGTCACCTACGTGCCCAAGGACAGCCGGCACAAGAGGCACGAGCTGCGCTTCTCCCAGGGGGCTACCGAGGTCTTGGTGCTGGCACTGCAGAGCCGGGAGCAAGCCGAGGAGTGGCTGAAGGTACATGGCACCTGCCCTTCCTTTCCCCCTTCCCCAGGTCCAGCTTTCAGCCAGGTGGGCTCCAGTCCCTGGAAGAACAGGCCTTGCTCAGGGGAGGGGTGGCAGTCAGAACCCTGTGCATGGCTAGGGCTGACATGCGGAAGTGGGCTTCAGACATCTCCAGGAGACAGACCTCAGGCTGAAGTAATGCCTTCTTTCTGGTGATTTGAATCCTCTAACATCCTCACTGTGGGCTTGTCTAGCCTGCATATGTATACCTCCTGGAATGCAGAGCTTAATATCTTTGAAGGAAACACATTTTATCATTAGATAAGCTAATCCTTTAAAAAAATTAAAAAGAGGAAATCCTTCCTGTCTTAGGTGAAATGTGTATCCTCAGAACAACCACCTGTGGCCCAGCTTCCACATCTTGCCTCCGACGGTAGAACAATTAGTTACTGTGTACTGAGCGTGTGTTTTGTGCCATGCATTGTGCTGAGAGCGTTACATACTTGACCTCATTTACTCTTTGCAATGGGACTATTATCGTTCCCATTTTACAGATGAGGAACCTGAGGCCTAGGAATCTTCTGTGACTTGCCAAAGGTCACCCAACTAAGTTGTTGGGGCCAAGATTAGAAGTTACCAAGGAAATCTACTCCAAGGGCCATAGTGATGACAAGGGAGGACTTTGGTGGCACACAGACTTGAGTTCAGGTCCCAGGCCTAAATGGACTTACTGGCTATGTGATCTTCTGCAAATGACTTTGCCTATCTGTGCCTCAGTTTCCTCTTCTGTAAAATGGTTCTTGTAAAGATTCTAGAGAGCATTTAATATAGTGCCTGCCAGACAGTAAGTGCTCAGTAACTGTGAGTCATCACTGTGTCATGGTGGTAGAGCCACCATCCCCAGTCCCTTACCTCGGGCCACCATGTCCCTGCACCCTGTCCCGCTTCCCCTCTGACACCTTTCTCCCTCGTCCTCTGATCCTCCTGCTGGGACAAAGAAACCAGACACCTCCCTCCCTCCCCATCCTCCCTTCCTTCCTGTGATAACAAGCTCTCCCCCTGGGAGGTTTAGTGCTGCTCATTATCTTTGTCTCAGGAGGGGAAAGAAGGGAGAGAACCTGCCTGCTGGGGGAGCCTGTGCCCTCCAGGGGCCGGGTGGGCCAGAAGAAGGAGCCCTAGACTGGAGACTGAGACTGGAGTCAAGCCTGGACTAGAGACTGTGTTGACGTCCCGATACGGGGAGGTCATTAGCCCAGAGGTTCAGGGCAGGCAACCACGGCTTCGCTTCTCGGAGCCCCATCATCCTCTTCTGTGATGTGGGGATCCCAGTTGTCTCTGCCCCTCGGGGCCACTGTGTTAATACAGTGGGATAGGGCTCCTGGGTGGCTCAGTTGGTTAAGCGACTGCCTTCGGCTCAGGTCATGATGATCCAGTCCCGCATCGGGCTCCCTGCTCAGCAGGGAGTCTGCTTCTCCCTCTGGCCCTCCCCACTCTCATGTGCTCTCTCTCTCTCTTTCTCTCTCTCAAATAAATAAATAAATAAAATCTTTAAAAAAAATACAATGGGGTAATCCATGTAAAACCACAGATGGGTGAGCAACAGTGACGGCCACCATTATTTCATGGTCTGGATGTTTCTGCAATGTGAGTGAGTGCCCTGGAATCTCCATGTCCACGCCTTTGAAATGGAGGAGGTAGCCCCCGGCTGCCTGCAGGCTGTTGCCAAGGTTCCACACTGTCACGGGAGCCAGTCCCTCGTGCTTGTGCGGGGGGTCCTGGGTCATGTGGCCCTTCACACCCACGATCTCACTGGTCCTCAGGCAACCCAAGGACATAAGCAGAGGACAGTATTATCCCCATGTGACAGACAGGGAAGCTAAGGCCCAGAGGAGGAAAGTGGCTTTCACAAGACTGCACAATTGATTAGCAACGGAGCCCGGTCTAGAAGCCATGCCTCTTGTTCCCCAGCCCCCTCTCTTTTCAATTCAAGGGGAAACGTTGTTCAAACCCCGATGTGCAGGAGGCCACATCAACCCATCCCCACTGCCCAGGGATCTCAGCCCCGCTGCTCGATGGCCCTGACTGCACAGACCCCGTTCTTCCTTCTGCCTCAACAGTACCCCTGCCCACCTGCTCACGGTTGTGCATCCTCTCCACAGGTCATCCGAGAGGTGAGCAGGCCTGCCGGGGCGACCGAGGGCACAGACGTGCCCCGATCCCCAGTCCTCCTGTGCAAGCTAGACCTAGACAAGGTACGTCCTCTGTGCCAGGCAGCAGGGACTCAACACGGGCTCTGCCCCGGGGGGATCCACAGGCCAGTGGTGAAGCCAGGCACCTGTCTCAGACAAGCCACCTTGGAGCTGGCACAAGTCGGCACTCAGTCCGTGTTTCCTGAATGAATGCATGCATGAACGAATGAATACCCACGTCCAAGGCACAGTGTGAGCCCGAGGAGGGAGTAACTAGCCCCGCCAGGACGGGAGGAGGTCACAGTTGAACGGAGCCATGAAAAGCAAATTGGAAGCTGTCAGAGGAGCGTACCCCGCTGGGACGGGAGTGAAGCGGGCACTTGGTAGTTGCTCAGGCAGCCGCTTTGCCAGATGCCAGTGGGTGATCGAGGGACTCAGCCCCCAACCTACACACACGAGTCTTGCATGAGGTAATAAAGGTTAGAGTTTCTAGAATCTGACTGTGTGGTCAGCACTGTCTGGTAGGCTTTACATGTATTACCTACTTTCATTTTTATGACAGCTCTTTGACGAATTCCATTTTCAGATGAGGAAGGTGGGACACAGAGAGGCTTACCCCAAGTCCCATAGTTAATAAGAAGCAGAGCAAGGATGTATACCCAGACACCTGGCTCTTGATGACTTTGCCCCCCATCTCTCAAGGGGGCCGAACTCAGGTCTGCTTGCTGAGTCATTCGTGAGCCCCGTGCCCCAGGCATTGTGCTGGGCACGCAGGTGCAATGCTAACAGTAGTTCACACCCACCCTGTGCCCCCCCCCCGGGGGGGGGTTGACACAAAAGCCCAGCTGTGTGAGCGCTGGGAGGGAAAAGCACCAGGTACCCTGGGAACGTCTGCCAGGGGCCTGCTCTTGTCTCAGGCGTCAGGGAAGTTTCTCTGAGAGAGCACATTTATGATGAGGGTGAACAACTAGAAAGGAAGGGGAGGGAAAGGGCATTCCAAGCTGAGGGAGCAGGCCCCAGAACAGGGGGAAGCAAATGGAAGGTGGCCAGTGTGGCTGGATTCAGACAGAAGGGGGCTCGTTTAGCCTATTAGAGTGGTCATTTCCAGGACCTTTCCAACTGCAGTGAAGGGGACAGGGGTTCACGCTGGCTGGAGGGGCAATGGGGGAGGGGGAGGGAAGATGGCACCCGTGTTAAGCAGAGAGCCTGCGTCTCCCTCTCCTGCTCCCCCTGCTTGTGTTCCCTCTCTCGCTGTCTCTCTCTGTCAAAATAAATAAATAAAATCTTTAAAAAAAAAAGAAAGAAAGAAAGCAAGAAAGAAAGAAAGAAAAACCTACCATCTGTATACCATTGCAGGGCAAATAGAACCATACGTTGTTTCACAAATTACAGGGGAGATCCTTTATACTTTCAACAGATCTATCCCAATTCTGACAGTTGCCATGTTTCCAGCCTTTGGAAATTGAGGGGAGCCCAAGGCCTCTCCTGTCTCTCCAGGCCCCCAAGTTCTGTGCTTATAGCAAAGCATCCCTGAGCCTGGTCTGGGAAGTCCTTGGCAGGAAAGGTGGAGGGGCCTCAGATCCTGTTCTATTACTTTTTAAGTGGGTTGGTGCCACTTTAATCCTGTCCCAAGTCTAACTAGCACCATTTAGCTTTTTAAAGCGAGGTGGCAACACAACACGCAGGTGGGAGAGATGATACCATCTGTTGGCTCCCTGGAAAAGGATGTGATTCCCGCGAGAAAACCAAGCCTTGGGGCGAGGAAAGGATTTTCCCGGGTTCCCATGACTAACAGGTGGTACCAGGGACAGAATTTTTTCCAAGGTCCATCTGACTCTGCCTCGCCACCTCCCTAGTACCTAGTCGGCACTTAACTGACCTTGTCTGAATGAGTGAATGAAGAGACGGACAGACGTGCGATGGGTCCGGAGTCAGCATATGAGTAAAGTTCTGTTGGTATGATGGAGTTGCTGCTATGGTGTGTGTGCATGTCTTCACCGCCCTTCTCCCCGAGTCAGGACCATGAAGACCCCTGTGTTGTCACCATTCACATTTCCTGGCCACCAAGTCCTGCCATAACTATTTTGAACACGCCAACTCTTCCCTTTTTCGACATCTTGTCATCTTAGCTCCTTCCTTTACCACGTCCCACCTTGCCCTGGGTGACATTCTTTAACGTGGCACTTTGGCTGATAGTCTGTCCCCACGATGCCACCAGAGGTCACTTCCTAAACCAGCTGCACTCCATTAGAATCCTACGTAAGTACCTTCCCAGACCCTGTCACCTACCGAATACGGGATATCCTAGGAATTTATTACAATGCGTTGCAACTAGGTGCCTGGCTCCCCAAACGGACAATGAGCGATTCGAAGGTACAACCGTCCTAAGTCAGCCTGTCCTCCCCAGACCTGGAATAGTGTCAGGCACAGGAGAGGTGCTGACAAATATTTGTTAGGCAATCATCGTGTGCAGAGATTGGGGGGATTGTACCAACAAAGGGGGACTTCTGAGTGTGCCTTCTGACATGGGGATCTCTGTGTCGCCCCCACCCCCCGCCAGAGACTGTCCCAAGAGAAGCAGACCTCAGACTCAGACAGCCTGGGCATGGGTAACAGCTGTTCTACTCTAGGCCGCCGGGAGGCCTGCGACCACGGTAGGAGCCTCTGGGGACTCAGGCCGGAGAATGCCACAGCCGGGAGGGGCCTTGCACAGGGACACGGTGCAGAGCAGGTCCCGACGGCTCTGGAGATCTGGGGAAGGTCACCTGGCCTGTCCACACCTGCAGTTGCAGCCAGGCCCCAGGCGCTGGCTGAAAGGGCCGTTGGGAAGGCTGGGATGGGTGGGTCTGCGACTTGGGGCTCCCTCCCTTCCTCTAACCCATCTCCATGGCAACAGGCAAAGGGAAGAAGAGCAGTCTGGCAGAGCTGAAGGGTTCAATGAGCAGGGCTGCAGGCCGCAAGATCACCCGCATCATCAGCTTCTCCAAGAAGAAGCCACTGGCTGATGACCTGCAGACATCCTGCCCCGATGAGGAGGTTCCATGCTGTGGTGGGTTCTGGGCGCCGGGAGGAGAAGAGTCAGACCCTGCTGCTGTGGGCCCCTGGGCTAAGCCAGAAAACCCTCTAGGCCTCTTCCACCTTGCTCCCAGGGCAGAGGAGAGAATCCTACCTAACCCCCACTCCATCAACAATCCATGCCTTTACATCACTTCTCTCCAGTAAGGCCTAACACTCAGGAAAAGGAAAAGCCACCTGACTCACCTATCTCTGTGTTCCCTGTGACCTCAGCTCCAATCATTGCCCGTCTGTGGGCCTCAATTTCCTCCACGGGAGGAGAGTATCTTATTTCTTCCCAGCACATAACATGCCAGGTGTGTAAGTTATAACCCAGTCTTATAAGGAAATTTCTGGGATAAAAATATTTAAGTACTTACAAATGCATTCAGCGTGAGTTAAACATGGTTATAAATGCCTTCAATGTGAGTTTAACATGGTTTGGAAGGGAAGATATATTATTCTCTTCTCGTTAATGCAGTGTTCCATGTGCTGAACTCCAATAGAAAATTCTGTATTTTGTTGGGTTTTCTTGTTTTGTTTTTGTTTTGTTTTGTTTTTAAGATTCTATTTATTTATTTGACAGAGAGAGACACAGCGAGAGCAGGAACACAAGCAGGGGGAGTGGGAGAGGGAGAAGCAGGCTTCCCGCCGAGCGGGAGCCCGATGCGGGGCTCGATCCCAGGACCCTGGGAACATGACCTGAGCCAAAGGCAGACGCTTAACGACGGAGCCACCCAGGCGCCCCAGAATATTCTGTATTTTGGATATGCAGTAATATTCCCTCAAACCTGAAAAAATATTATAAAATCACATGGCTATAAAGAATTATTTTGTAACCAGTAAATCAGGGCATGTTGTGGGAAAAAATTATTTAAATCTAAAATGTTGAGAGTGAATTCTAAACCCACTGGTCATCAGCCTGTGCCTTGCTCGTTTTAGAATTCTTCCTCTTGGCTAGACACTTTTATTCCCACATGCTGCCACCAGGTGTCAGCATTACCCATCATTTTCTGTCTCACTAATAGTTCTGCTATTTTGGGAGGAGGAAAGGCAAAAGGGATAGTTGTGTCTTTTACTCACCTCTACAGTAGTCCCCTGCCCTTTTCACCAAGCTGGGTATGGTACAAAGGCTGGGTATCAGTATATGAATGTGATCATCAGTCCCCACTTCAGATAAGGAAATGAAACTCAGGGAGAAGAGGGTGCCAGAGGCCACAGGCCCAGAGAGAGTGAGCTGATCCAGGACCCACAAGTCCTCTTTCCAGCTAGAGAACCAGGGTTGTCCAGGCGCTTGTCCCCAGGGTGTAGACCCATGCAGACTCACAGCCCCCACCTTGGGTTTCCCCAGGGCCGGGCTGTCAGGAGGTCACCCTGCTGGTCTCCCCCTCCCAGGCTATCTGAACGTGCTGGTGAACCAGGGCTGGAAGGAACGCTGGTGCCGCCTGAAATGCAACACTCTGTACTTCCACAAGGATCACACAGACCTGCGGACCCATGTGAATGCCATTGCTCTCCGCGGCTGTGAGGTGGCCCCAGGCTTTGGGCCCAGACATCCATTTGCCTTCAGGATTCTGCGCAACCGGCAGGAGGTTGCCATCTTGGAGGTGAGAGGAGAAAATCCAGGTGGTTCTTGGTGGTGGCAGCTGAGAGGAGCTTTGGCCTGGGTGTGGGCTTTTGTCTTGGGGGCCTTGCTAACTGACATTACAGGGACTGAGGAAAAAGGGAAAGTAAGCCCACCTGCTGCCAAATGACCGAGAATGACTGCCTGTGAAAATACAGGACACCCACTTAAATTGGAATTTCAGATAAACGACAATGGTTTTAATGCAAGTATATCCCATGTGATATTTGGTATATACCTATACTGAAAAAGTATTCGTTGTTTATCTGAAAGTCGAATTTAAAAGAGCATTCTGCATTTTTATTTGTTAAATCTGGCAACCCTAGAACCAAAGTGTGTTTATTCTCCCCTGTCTTAAAATCCCAAGCCTGAAATGCATCTAGTCTGATCTAACCTAGATCTGATTCTGGAATCCCCTCTAAAACCTTCCCACCAGTGGCCGGCTGCCTCAGATCAACCACTGCCCTTCGAGGCAGCCTGCCCCTCCCATGAAGCAGCTACATTTTTAGAAAGGTGTTGTCCACACTGAGTTGAAATCTTTAAGCTCCATGAAGGCAGTAACCATGCCTGTTCTGCATACTTTTGGTTTTTCCAGAACCCAGCATGATGCCCAGCCCATATTAAAGGCTCAGTTACTATTTGTTGAACAAATGGTTGAATGAAAATGTGATTTCATCCCACCCATACATGGTCGTTCCTACCCAGTGGCATTCGCCCTCCTCTCTGAGGTCCTGCACGATGCATGGAGTTTCTCCGCTACATGTCTGTCCCTCATTTGGCTTTTTAAGATTTAAAATGTAAACACTGGAGGGAAAGTTCACGAACTATCCCCTCATATTACAAACAGGGTGACTGAGGCCAGGGCAGCCAGGTGCTTTGTCCAAGGCTCCTAGGCGGTCAGAGGCCTCTTGGCCTGATCCTAGAACAAAAACCCAGCCTCCTGATCTTGTTTGCTTTGTCCAGTACCCCCTGCCTCACCCAGATTGCCTTGGTCACTCACTTTTATTTTTGATAGGCTGAGACGGGTCTCTTATTTCTCTTAAATTAAACACAGGGCTTTCTGGCAAGAAGTGTGCTTCCTTCGTTCAAGTCTAGCATTTGTGTGGTCAGCTGATTTTATAAGAATGCTCTTTAAACGAGAACTACCTAGAACTATGGGTTCAGTTAACCAGCAACTTCTTGGCAGTTTTCCTGTATACCAGTACTACAAATAATTGGCAGTTATAAGGGGAAAATTTCGATTGGGTTATGTGAGAAATAGTCTCCTCTAATAAAAAAGTAATTTTTTTTTTTAATTCAGGGAAACCCAAATGTTGTTTCTGCACCTAAATGGTCATGAAGGTTCTGAGGATAGTGAGTGAGGGTGTGTGTCTTAGACAGGTGGTCAGGGAGGGCTTCTCTGAAGAGGAGCATTAGAGCCAAAACCTGAATAAAGACAGGGTAGAAGCCACTTGGATTTCTGCGTGTGTGTTGCAGCCCTGTTCCTCTTGGACCCCTAAGTATTGGGTACATAGCCGGTACTTTACAGATATGGGTTTGGCTAAAGTGAGCAGGTAGCCTGATGTCCTAACAGTACCAAAGTGAACTCATCAGCCTGTGCCTCCTCTCCCTCAGGCAAACTGCTCAGAGGACATGGGCCGCTGGCTTGGGCTGTTGCTGGTGGAGATGGGCTCCAAAGTCACTCCCGAGGCACTGCACTATGACTACGTGGACGTGGAGACCTTAACCAGCATCGTCAGTGCAGGGCGCAACTCCTTCCTGTGAGGGCCGGCACCCCCAGCACCCCCCACCCCTGGCAGCCTCTCAGAGCCTCTGTGTCCGGCCATGGGCGCTGGGAGGGGAGGGAGGAGGAGCCGAGGAGGACTCTGCTTCCTTGGGAAGTCAGAGTGGGTGCCTTCCTCCTCCAGCAGGCAGGAGCAAGCTGGCTAACAGAGGTAGCCCAGCGTTGGGGGAAGCTGTGGATGCAATGAGCAAAGGAGCAGAAGTCCTTCTGCGTAGTGACTGGGGCTGGGCTCTCATGCCAAGGAACCTCAGGGTCTCACACCCTTGGCCATCAGGGCTGTTCCATGCATTGGAAGAGCCGGGTTCAAATCACGGCTCTCACGACCAACAGCTTGGGGTGGTTGCTTGCCAGCTTGGATCCTCCATGTCCTTGCTTATAGAATGGAGGGGATGAATTACTCACCTCTCGGGTTGCTGTAAGAATCATGGGGCTCCCTGCCTCTGAAGGCCTTAACACAGCAATGGCCCAGCGCTGCTTGGCATGGTTGCTGTTACTAACCTTCCAACACCCATCACAGAATCAAATGAGAGTAGACAGGAAAGCTCTATAAGCCACAAAGTGTCATCATCATTGCCATCATCATGACACCTTGTATTTTCTAGATATGCAAGGTCCTGCCAGGATCAATGGCCTGAGCCCCGTGTGTACGATGATGTTCCTTATGAAAAGATACAGGTGCGCTCCCTTGGGAGGGCTGGGAATGTGGCAAAGGCCACTGATTTGGCTCTTCCTCACTCTCTCTGTCACCACTCCTTTTTTCCTGTACATCAGGGATAATTTCCATTTAAGCAGCAGCTGGAAGGGGAGGGAGGACCCTTCTTATCATAGATCATGGCTCTGGGTAAGGACTCCCTGGGAGAGGAGGCAGGGTAGTACAGCGAGAAGCTCCCTAGATCCGGAAGAGGAGAGGACTCTGTATACTGCAAAGCACTACACCGGTCTGAGCAAGGTGTTGGGCTCTCCACTGGTTCACAGCTCTGTGAGCTGATGCTGCTGACTCAGTGGTGCCTGGGGGGCGGCCACTCCATAGACCTTCACCTGGTGGCATCACGGTCTGGGCCTCAGCTTCCAAGACAGAGTCTCCCTGTCTTGTTCACTAAATCAGGGAGAGGCCAGTGAGGCCTCGGTAGCCATCACATGAACAGACTGCTTCTGGCAACGTGTCCTACGTCTTTTCCTCCCATGGGAGAGCCAGACAGCCACATTCTGATCAGACCCTGGTGGGTGCGTCAGGCCTCACAGCTGGGAGAGAGAAAAAGAGGGGATCAAGCTGCCAAAGAAAGCAGACATGTCTGCACGCCAGACCCCCTGCCTTGGACAGTGCTGGATGACACCGAGCTCCCACCTCTAAGACTCCCTTTTCTAGAAACTTCTCCATTCTTCTTCTGCTTATGTGGTCTTTCTTCAGATTCAGATGAACCAGTGGATGCAGCTTGAGATCTTTCTCAATTGCAGTGATTAGTAGCCAGACAGCTTAGTACCTAACGGCATGAACTTTGAATTCAGGGCTGAATCTGGGTTACCTTGGGCTTCACTTCTCTAGTCCTCATTTCCTGGCTCCAGACGAATACTAGAAAACCTACCTGATTGGATCACTGCAAGAACTAAATGAAATACTGTATGGAAAGAGCTTAGCAGCACGTAGACATCAGAAGCTCTCACATGGAGTAAATAGTACTATTGTTATCAATATCATTATTATATTACATTATTATCATATTCCATTCATGGTTCCCTGAGCTCTGACTGGATTCTGGGTGTTCTTAATACTCTTCATGCACAAATGTATAGCCAGTTTAGCGGCGCTTGGGTGGCTCAGTCAGTTAAGCATCTGCCTTCAGCTCACGTCATGATCTCAGGATCCTGGGGTCGCACTGGAATGCCTGGCTCCTTGCTCAGCGGGGAGCCTGCTTCTCCCTCTCCCTCTGCCTCTCCCCCTGCTCGCACACTCTCCCCTCTCTCTCTCAAATAAATAAATAAATCTTTTTTAAAAATGTAGAGCCAGTTTATTAAGTTATGTAACTTCTACGATTGGCTGATATCATCCACGACTTTTTATCTTAACTGGGAGCTCTACATTTAGCAATTTCAGAAAATTTGAAGGACACTTCCAAATGATGTGAAGACAGAAATAGCTATGATAAATCAAATATGGTCACCCACAGCGCTCTGAGACTTCCAAATTTTCCTCTCAGCAGATATTCCAGTTTAGGGGCGCCTTCTGCAGCCCCCAACAGGAAGGTATGAGGATCAAATGATACATGCTAGTAGAAGTAGTCTATAAACTGTTGAGTGCAGCCCCAGTCTAAAAACGTAAGGCCATGATCTCAGAGGTCCTGCAATGTTCACCCACCACATTTGGAGCAGAATACACCCCTGCCTGGAGGGCTCTGAGCCTACCTGCACTTCACCTCCTTTCTCCATCTCCTCCAGGATGAGGAGCCTGAGCGTTCCGCGGGGGCCCAGGTGAAACGCCATGCCTCCTCCTGCAGTGAGAAGTCCCATCGAGTGGATCCGCAGGTCAAAGTCAAGCGCCATGCCTCCAGTGAGTTCCGGGTGGGAGCGAGGAAGGGCAAGAAACAATCCATGGGATCGGGGATCTCAAATCAGATTCCTCCAGGCAGTGGGCAAGTAAATTAAGGAGTGAAGTGAGATGTAAGAAACTACTCTACCATAAGAAAAATGACAGCACAAGCCAAGTGCTAAAGGGCAGCTAGGCTGTGGCCTCCCAGGGGGAACAACAAGGAATGGGGTGGGGGGAAGACTGGGAACCTGGAGTGCTCAGCCTCCACCAGAGGGGTGGCTACTACTCAGCTTCAGCCAGTGGCTCCCACGGAACCCGGCAGCCCAGGTTCACAGATTATTCGAGACCAGAAATCTAGCCTTTATAGGAAATCTACTGACTTCTTAATACTAGCAACTAATTTTCAAAATTTTAACACGGAGGCCAAATACGTTTTGATGCTGCAATGTTGCATATATATGGATACACATGGAAAATTCACCCTCAACTTCTGTCTGTTCCAAAGGCTAAAATCATTTATAAATTCTGATCTGGGGGAGCAAGTGGAGAAACGAACTCTCCAAATGCCCTCAAGGCAGCTGCCGCGAAGGGCATGGCTCACCTCTGTGTCCCAGCCCGCGCTCTCCCTAGCACCCCATATAGGAGCTGAGTGAATTTTGCCTGATTGCCACACTGCACAATAAAGGCTAAGCATGCCAGACTCTGGTCAATTCTGTTTGATTTCCAATCCTAATCTCTGCTCCTGTGTGATTCACGAGCCGGCCAGCTTCCTATAGGACAGCATATTCCAAGAGCCTTTTAGTTACTGCTTTACATTTCTTCCCCCTGCCCCCGAACACAGTCAAGTTCTATTCCTTGCTTTTTGAAGATTTATCTTTTCACTTTATTAGATCTCCACTTCATTAATGTAGATAATCTCTTCTGGGAGTCAGGAGACCTGTGTTCCGTTCCCCCACTTGATCATTAAATTACTACGTAACTTTGGAAAAGTCCCTTCCCCTCTCTGGGCCTGAGTTTTCCCCCTGCACAGTCAGAGGGTGGTTGTGTCACGTTCCTTACACTCTGCTCTCATCGGCACCACCGGAAATACAGGCCTTTATGGAATGCCCATTTTTAAATGGAAAAGTAGCGGTGCCTGGGTGGCTCAGTTGGTTAAGCATCTGACTCTTGATTTTGGCTCAGGTTGTGATCTCAGGGTCTGAGACCGAGCCCCACATTGAGCTCTGCGCTGAGCATGGAGTCTGCTTATGATTCTTTCTCCCTCTCTGCACTCCCCACTCACGCTCATGCTCACTCACTCTCTCTCCAAAATTAAAAATAAAAATTAAAAAATTAAATGGAAAAGTAAACAAATAAACATGTAAGATTAAAGAAATCATAAAACATTCAAACAACAACAACAAAGATAACACAACAGATTCTTTCTTCAAATCAAATGTTATATTGAGTGATGTATAAAAAAGATATGAAATACTGGGAATTGCAGATGGTGGTTGGGGGTTTTAAGGTCCTTATCTGATAAATATAACACTGACAACACTTTGCTGGTCTATCCATTTATTTTTAGTTTACCAGTCTATAAAATCCAAACTTCTGAGAGAAAACTCCCCTGGGATGCTACCGTGTATCTAGGTAGTTGGGGGAAGTATGGGGCCCCTTCTCTGCCCTCCATGCTTTATTTATTATGATCAAGCTTGAACTGCAGGGTAGATGGGACAGGAATTGATTATTGCATGCGTCACTGGGTGGCCACTGCAGTTAGAGAGACAAGACCCCATTTATCAGTAAACCAAGGGAATCATTCCAAACGCCACACCCCACCAGCTTAAAAGGGCTGTGAGTAACTGTCTGAAAAAAATAAATAAATAAAAATTTCCCTGAAACGTTGGACCATGGCATTGCCCCAGCTAGAGCAGTAATGCATGGCACAGAGCCCAGAGTTAGACACATATGGGCTCAAACTGGGCTCTGCCATCGTTAGCAGTGAGACCTGAGCTCTCTGTGCCTCAGAGCTAATAATAGTAAGTTTCATGAAGATTAAGTGGAAATGAATATAAATGGCCTAGCTTATAGTAAATGCTTGATAAATTTTTGCCATAGTTATTTGTAATTGTTCACCATAATGTAGAGCCTGCAACAGACTTCTGGGCCCTTCTCTCCCCCAACCCATTTTCCAGGAATAAAACAGTCAATACCTGACTTTAGCCCAAGGTCTTGATTCTTTGCAGCTCTGAGTTGTATGTCCCTGTCTCCTTGTCTTATATATACCTGAGAGTTGACTGTAAAATGCCCTTTTAAAACTAGTGTGTGTTATACATCACAAAATCTGTTTCATATCATTATCTGACATTTACTTAGCACTTCCACCAGATACCATATCAAATATTTTTCATGAATTCTTTCATTTAAAACTTATCACAATGCTGGGGCACCTGGGTGGCTCAGTTGGTTAAGCAGCTGCCTTCAGCTCAGGTCATGGTCCCGGGGTCCTGGGACCGAGTCCCGCATTGGGGGGGGGGGGGTCCCTGCTCAGCGGGGAGTCTACTTGTACCTCTCACTCTCCCTCTGTGCTCTCTCTCTCTCTCAAATAAATGGATAAAATCTTCAAAAAAATTTAAAAAAACTTACCACGATGCTAAGAGGTAAATTTGATCAATAGTCCCACACTTACAAATGAGGAAACCAAGACCTGGGGGAAAGGCACAGAAACAGTGCAGTTCACTGTTGCCTGATGTCGCACACTGGTAAAGGGGGAAAGAGAACACAGACCTTGGTCCGCCTCATTCCAAAACCCTTGTTCCTAGTCCCTGTGCTCTGCTGCCTCCCTTTTGCTCCTGTTTCCTTGGAGGTTTCACACACTAAGGATATAGATCTAAGTATTCCCATTTTACAGATGGAGAAGTTGAGGCTGAGAAAGACGCTAAGGCCCCTCCAAGTACCCTTACCGGAGATCAGAAATGGGGGCCTTTGCCTGCCTTCTACCTCTGCAGGTGCCAATCAATACAAGTACGGCAAGAACCGAGCGGAGGAAGATGCCCGGAGGTACCTGGTAGAAAAAGAGAAGCTGGAAAAGGAGAAGGAGACAATCCGGACGGAGCTGATGGCACTGAGGCAGGAGAAGAGGGAGCTGAAGGAAGCCATTCGCAACAACCCAGGTACCTACGTGGGCACGTCCTGGGCACTACTGGGCGGGGCCCGGGCTCAGCCCTGACACCTCCCGTGGCAGAGGTCAGCCGGTTATCCGGGACAGTGCGCTTCTCCTCCCCTTCTTCCTCCTCCCTCTCCTCCTTCTCCTGTTCCTCAACATCATCATCATCTTCCTTCATGACTAATGAAAGTGCCATCAGTCTAATAACTGCTTTTGGGTAAGGGGATGAAAAGGCATCACAAAAATGTGTACACTTAATGTAGTAAAATTCAATCTGATTTTAGAAATGTTAAAATGAGTGTGCCTTAGAAATAAGGAAATAAGAGATATAATTTTGAACCTCCCATTAAGTCACTCATTCACGGAAGGGCTGAGCACCCAACCGTGTGAGACACTGGTCCCCGTGCTGGGGAATGATGGACAGACACAGTCCCAGGATCCTCTTCCAAAATCCAGGGCCATGACTCCTGCAGGCCCAGCCTGCTCCGGGCTCCTCTGCACCCCCACCTTCTGCTCTTTCCTTTGAATTCTCTCTATAGCTGGAGTTTGGCATACTTTCAGCCTGAAGTTTGCACACGGGCTTGAGGGAACAGAAGCCTTGTCCTTTATAAAATACATCCAAGGTCACGCAGCCCGGTGAGAGTCTGATGGAACCTATGGACCCTTTTCCCAAGGGGAAAAAAAATCCCACAGTTCATAATGTCACAGACAGTTTCAGTAGGCAAGAGCTCATGTCCCCCAGAGCTCAGCCATAGATTGCCTAGGAATCCATACACCTAACAGAGAACTTCTAGCTTAAAGGGTAAGGCTTCTTCTGTGTAGCCAAGAACCAGAATCTGTGGGAGGGAAGCATTAAGAGAGAGAAAAAAAAAAAAAAGAAGGCAGTTTGGTCTCAATACAGAGAACTTTCTAAGAGTCAAAACAAGGTTTGGAACAGGCTGATTATCCTCCTTATCCTGCTCAATTTTTTTCTATAGCACATCACTTTGTAACACTGGATTATTTATTATGTTTTATTTATTATCATTTTTATTTATTGTTTTTTCTCTCTCTCATACACACACATGCACACACACACACACAAATACGAGCTCCATAAGGGCAAGGATCTTAGCCTGTTTTGTTTTGTTTTGTTTTTTTAATAATATATAATGTATTATTTGTTTCAGGGGTACAGGTCTGTGATTCATCAGTCTTACACAATTCACAGCACTCGCCATAGCACATACCCTCCCCAATG